TGCTTGTTACGAAATTCTTCTGGACCTTAGTAGTGTAACGAAACAGCGGGGCCACGTTTAACGACGCCTCGGAGATTAGTAAATTTTAAAGTGCATTTAAGTACCACTTAGGTTTTTCCGTCGTCCTTGACAGACTGTTTCCTCGTTTCTGAATAACTTTTACTGACTGTAACCAGATTTATAAGAACGCGAAAGTTCTTTGAGCCGGGTTGGCTGCTGTGGATGAAAGGATGAACACCTCAAACTCCTTAATTGGCGCCAAACTTGGTTGCAAATGATGCCACTGGCGAGTGACGACACTTCGATTAGGTGATTTGCTTTGCCTTTCTGGCAGTCGGTAGGAGACGTTCTTAACCTCATGGGCTATCTCCGGATTATTCCTAGCGCGATGATTGGTCAGTAAGTACAAGGTAAATATTGTTGATGTGGTAAGGGGCCAGTGTGGGTTTGTAAAACGATGAATAGTAAATCCGGAGTGAGTGGAATATGATGCGTCAACTCCTGTCTAATACACAGTTTATCACTCTGAAGTACACGAATGACGCAGAACGGTAAAATATTTGCAGTTCCACCGTGTAGAATAATTACATCTGCTTCCGAAGTGGCAATTCTTATTTTATTTAGGTTATATTTTCTGTTAATTGCAATTTTGAATTTGTGTAGCGTGCGTTAGACGTTCGTGGTTCTAGAAGTTTGTCGAAGGAGTGAGTCGAGTCGAAGTGGCGTCGAGGCAGATCGGACCCTCGCGATTTCATCCCTTCCACAAAACTAAAGGCGTTTGAAATGTGGTTAAATCTGGTTGTCCGTCTAAGGAAACGTTTCAGTTTTCTGCCCAGTCCCTCGAAACTTATTCGAGCATTGAAATCTGCCTTTGCCACGGTCGACAGAGCTTGGATCTGCCCTACGGGGCTTTCGCTCTTGTACATGTGTTCAATTTGCCACTTCCGAGTGGCGCGGTATCTGCAATTTGCACAGGCACGCACAAAAGTATCAGATTACATATTGCTTGGACCTTCTCTCCTGTTACAGAAACGTCCGTTTACCGAAAATGGACATCTTCTGGGTTCTTACGACGTGTAGAAATTTACCGACGTTTCGGAAGTGCTGGCTGCCTCCATCTTCAGGGCAGTAATGGGGCCAGGAAGGACCTCTAAAACGTCGGTAAATTTCTACGAAGCTACACGTCGCAACAGCCCAGAGGACAGTCATCTGAATTTCATGAAGTTTTTTGTGTTGACATGGATATTGCAGGTGTCAAGTCTTGTCACCCCTACACTACAACTGGCGCGTGGAAACAACTCAGAAATTTGCTTGGTTTATGTCCAAAATCGATTTTGCAGTGTTTAATAAAGAATGCATATGGAAGTTGCGTTTTGTGGTTGATTGGCTTTCGCCGACATTTAATCTTAACACGCTGCGAAAATGGGTTAGATGATGTGGGAACCGGTCGTATTTCTCTAGTGCCGCAAAGGGAATGCAAGAATGCGCATTTATTACGCAGTATTAAGTAGATCCCCGACATGGGACAGGATTTTTCCTCTAGTCTCCGCGTCCGGACCCATCTTGTGCCGAGGCTGAGAATAAGTAGGACAATACCGCTCTCCCCCTGAGCGCCTGCATGGCGCGTAGCGGGATAGCTTTATGCGTCTTAAGGCATGAGATTTTCGGTCTTGTGTGTGGAGCTTTGTGTAAAACGCGTAATACGTTTGAGCCTTAAGGACAACAAGTCTTTTATTAAGGCACTGTGAAGGATTCCGTTCGAAGAAAGAAAATGTGTTTTTTTTTCGAAGAGGAAACGAAGTCAGGGGATAATGCGAAGGAACTGGGAGAGAAATAAGACGGAAAAGGCATTGAGGAGAGTAAAAGATTCATAACGGAATGTAACAAGCAGGGAGCACGTGGAGTAGGAATAATAAAGTTGGTGGTTTTATCCCCTTGTAGTTCGTGGAATATTTTGTATTTTTGCTGGGTAGTGCGATCGTTGAATTTTTGCAGAAATGTGGAATTGACGAAGTTGCACGGTTTTTGAAAAGTTGAGCTACACAGGCGACGCACTTACGGGGGAGCCGCATGCAAGAATGCGTGGGCAGATTTCTGCCCAAGGCCGATGCTGGATTGTGGAGATACATTTGTAAATTAATTGAATTGTTAACGACGTCAAGCCTTGTCGTACAAATTCCTTGCTTAGACGAACTAACTTCAAAAACTGTATGGATTTATTTTTAAATTCCCAGTTAATCTCCATTCCTGTACAAATGTAACGTGTTTAGACGCACGAATGCATTCCCCAAAAACAGGAAGGCGAAGGAGATAGCCTACTTTCAGTAACGACTGGGCCTATACCCTTAGACGCAGCCTTTCTCAGCCACTCCCGCGGCCACCCGAACAACGTTTCGTCCGCTCGGGTAACCTACAGTTCGTTTCCTGACGCTGGCTATCCAGGGTCTAACGATCCCTTGTCAGGGACACCACAACCGTGACCCAGGCCACTTCTCCTCATTTCACCGCAGACCCTTCGGGCAAATGTCACCGAAACGCAGCCTCTGTGCAGACCACACACGCACTCGACAACATCCTCAGCCTCCCGGCTTCGTGGTTACGACTGTACGTCGCTGTTTCCGCAAGATGAAGAACCACTGAACATGGAGGCGGCAGGGACAGACGCGTGCCTTTGTGCCGGAATTCGACTTTGTGATCTCCGATTTATCCAAATGAGTGTCGTTAAACAAACTAAGAATCCAAGAATCATTTCGTCTTGTCTCTGGGAAATCGTGGGTTTTATTTTCTCTCTGAGCCGATAAAGTAACTAATTTCGGTCTGATGATTGTTTTTTCTGGCAAAGTGCAGACGCAGAGGACAATCCAAACAGAAAGGCGTGAGGGAGTCGGCATTGAATCGCTTGTGCGTGGAGCCAGAAATCCAGGAAACATTGTTCTGTTGCGAGCAGCTGGCACAGACGAGACAAGAATGTGATGCTGGAAGGCATTACAGAAGATGGTCTTCCTTCTCATCCATCCATCTGCGCTTCGTACGAAAGACGGACAAGAACAGAACGCGAAATGAAATATAAACATTCAGTTCTATATACCCAAAGAAGATCTAATTTACTTCAAAGAACAGAAGGGCACGAGAAATAATCTTGCCCTGAGAAGATAGGAGCAGAAAGCCGAGTCGTCGCGGGTCCAACTGCGCAGTTATACGCGCGTAACTCAGAGAAGAGCTCTCTCCTTCCCAGCGACCAGCGCGTCTCTCGCTTTATAAAAACGACCACACAATACAGCGCGAAAGTGGAAGGATAATCAGATCCACCCCCGTTTAATAATAGATTCTCCCATCTGCCCTCGCCACATTCCATTTAAGGATGTCTTGATTGCTAGGCCCCTGCTCATGCCAGTTGCGCAGGAACAAAAAAAAGTCGAATTTGAATACGCCACCAATTTTAGGATATCGCGGTGACTCTGAAATTGAAGTAATTATTTTGAGCGGGCTTTGTTTATTTATTTATACAGCGTCGATTGAGAGGATGTTTATGAATTGGAAGGGATATGGAAGGAAGCGGTCGTGGCCTAATTTAAGACACTATCCTAGTATTTTCCTGGAGGTACTGAGAAAAACCACGAAACCCCCAGTCATGTCAGCCGGTCTCCACTCCGAGATTTGAATTGTGTGCGGTGCTAACTGCCAGCCGCGCTCGTGTTGCGGTGTGGATGAACAGCCGATGGCAAGGAGCAGATTAATTGACTCGTGTTTTTTGGGTTCGAGGATTGAGCGTCGCCACACGAATCGCGTGCATTTGAGAGGTGGAACGCAAGCCCCGATGTTGCTGCACGGGACACCGTCGAAGGCAGTCGGCTGTAACAAGGCTTCGGGTGCGGAGCGAAGGCAGAGAAAGGAAGATGGCAACAGACGAGACGCGACAGCGGTAACGCACGGGCATATGTTCTTTTGAGGAAATATGTGAAGTGAAACGCACTCCAGCAAGGTTTCCCTCTTTTAAGACAAATCTGCTGTTTGTAGGCCGTGGCGGGCGAAAGACGGGCCTCGTGAATACAGACGCTGCCAGAAGTTGAGAGACTTTTGCACGGCGTCTCCGACTCGCAGCAGACTGACGCACCCGTCGATTGTTTCACGATGCTATATCAGTTGCAGAAGTTACTTAGTTCCGAATGAAACGAGGCGTTAAGTGTGTGTGGTAAATCTGGATTAAAGTGGTGCTGCTATTCTGGGGTTCCCCAGAAAGTACTGAGGAAAACCACGCATATCCAGAAGGTTCGCAACGACGTTGTTTGCGATGAAAGTTTATCAGATGTTTATTGATGCAGTAGCGACATTCCGGGAAGATGTGTCCGACCACATAAGATCGCCAAAACGCTTTTAGTAACAAGCCAAGTACAGGAGATTGGAGCGTTTTAAAATCAGATTAAGAACATTCGACTCTGTGAACAGAGCGATAAAACCGACCACATTAACCTTTAACTACTCGGGTTACGTTGTAGGGACACTGTGGCCGTGCAGTTCGGGACGTGGGTTCGAATCCCACTCAAGACATGCGTCTTTGTGTGTTTTACCCTCCGAAAGGACTGATCACTCGGGCAAAGTAGCTGAAGAAATTAGCGGGGAAGGTCTTTCAGCAACCGCAAAGCGACGGAGTAACTGATGTCCGGGTCAGACGTGAGACACGGCGATGTATTAATATTTGCGTTAATAGAAACGTGCTAATCACCATAATGACACCAAATCAGTCGTTGTATATCTTTATTTAGTTTTATTTCGGTAGAGTTTTATTGAACTTATCTTGGCGGATGTGGTAAATTATTAGCCGGTGACTTACTTTGGACACTCTCGCACAATTATATACACAGTTTCCGAATGTTTTTTTTTAATTTTCACTTTAACCTGGATTATTTAATAAGCAGTTATCAGAAGTCTAATTAACATAATTTTGAATAAGTTAAAATTTATGCTGCAGTTTGGCACATCATAAAAATTGTGTCTTGCAGGAATGAAGCCGAGCGGCGAGTGATGTCACGGGCTCAAACTTCTGTCCAGTGCTGCATCGTTAAACAGCTGTAAAGAGCTCCTCAAGAAACACCAGAGGGCAGCTACGGTTCAGGTTAGTCTGCTCCACAAAACGTCGTCAGCTTCGATCGCGTTAATTTAAATTTCAAAACAACGATTACGAAATTAACATTATAAGAATGATGTCGTCCCCTCAATAAATCGGCGTCAAGATGATGTTCAATGTGTGTCAGTAAGTTCCCGGAATGAAGTTCCAAACGCGCTGAGTTCTGACACACGTCATGTCGTCTTGTAACGCCATTGGTTTGGACAAGAATCCGGTTAGAGTGGAAAGATTTGCGGACTGTAAAGACTTATCACACAACGGCTACATTGAGAGAGTTTCTCGTAATTCGATTAAGTCAATGGATGAGTAAGTTCCACTTCCGTGTCTTTCTTGAAGCTCCCACTTCGAATCTCAACGGCCTCCGTTTCTGCAGGTGAAATCATAAGAGTCCCTTAAAATAAATTACGAATATATTCTCAGTTGGTAAAGTGTTGTTAAATCAGACACTTTAATCACATTATATTCGAACTGGTTTGTGACGATGCTTGGCCTATAGGTTGATGTAAGTGCTGGTGGGAATTTATCAACGCTGTATCAAGTATCCCATTTTTTTTGTCGAATGTGGACGAAGGATTAGCAAACTGACGGAACAGCACAGGAAACAGTTCTGCGCTGTTAGGTTAGTGGTGTCGGTTGTTCTTAGAGAATTTAATGACGCCATTTTACCTGCCCAGGCTGCGCCGTAGAGGGGGGGAGGAGGAAATGCTTTGGAACTGATATTCTCCTGCCTGTTTCAACTCTTAGAATAATGAACTGGGACGATATGAAGGGAAACGGCCCTGTCTTGTTTTACTAGAATTTTCCAGCATCTTCCTGGAGGCACTGCGTAGGACCACGTCAAGTCTGTCAGGAGGTTCGACCTCGTCTATGAACCCGGAACCTTCAGAATTTGCTTGTGGCATTAGAACCCTCACCCCAGAAACCGTCACTTGTTGATTTTGAATTTGCCTTTCCAGGCGAGACCGGAGATTCGGTCTCTGGAAACGAAGTGGAATCAGGCGATGCGTACTTTTCCCAGGTGCTGTTATCAACAGCTGCTGTGCGCTCATAAACAAGCCGCCCCTTCAGGACCCCCCCCCCGGCCCCGCGAGCTTCCATTCTGCTTCCAGCTATAGCAAATTGTTGTTACTTTAAAATTGTCCTGTGTTTGTACTACGCTGTTTGCATTATCTGCACGGGTCTGCCTCAACAAAAATATAAAACCATTTGTTATATTTGAATAAACAAGATGAGATAAGTTCTTCATTTTCACTGCTTTTTACACGTTCACTTGCTAAAAGGGCTGTGTTTTTTTACGTTGCGTTTAATTAATTGCAAACGAATTTTCTGTATTATTCATAATGGGAACTCTCTCTTAAATACCACACTGTGTTTGTTTGTTTGTTTTGTTAGGCTTCTTTACCGGCTGATATCTGAGGTTGGCAATTACCGTAGAGAATCTCGTATTAGTTAAAACATTGATGATTGTACCCGAGGCGGTTTTAATTACCAGATCCGATCGTGTCTCGCGGCGAGGAAATGTTTCAATTGTTCATTAAAATAATTTAAAATAGCCTACAAACACTTACTCCTCATTAATACGCACAACCATACTTTATTGTCAAATTACACTCTACGTAACCTTAGCTGATGCATCTTTTGATGCTTTGAAGTTGGAACGTTTAAGTCAGTTTGGAAGAACCAGATCTAGTGGAAGATGGTGACCGTTTGTCTGACTTCATCCCGTCGCCAAGTTGGTACACGGCATATTACAGGCGTGGCTTGTGAGTTTAATAATAGTCCATGAAGGAAATGACCCCTTACTTTTAACACAAGATTAATTGGGTAACATTTGCGTAGTTGCAAGAGACTCTTCATATCGGTCTCAGTGCGCACGTTCGCACGTGTTGGAATCGCTGACGAGAGGAGTGAACAGGATTGTCGGAAAAGGTGCCAGCGATTTTTTTTTGAGAGATGCCCGAGGAATCCAGAAATTACCAGAAGTCAGTTTTAGAGGTCTTTCTCACATTTGATGACGTAAATAATTTTTTATAGCACACGGGAGGCAAAACGTTTTCTGGGAACTGTCTACGGCTTCCAGCAGAACTTAAATTTCAACGTATACCAACCGTCGAGGTTTATCGATACAAATCGTGCAGAGGTTTTGCGAACAGTCGTCTGTCGCGCTGGTTTACAGAAGCCAACGCGATTTACGACGCTTAAGAGCAACGAACCGCAGTTCATTGCCTTGATCCATTCGTTCTGATGAGAAATTTTGCAATACGTCAGAATGCATAAGTTTTCCCGCTCGATCTCCGATTCATTTGTTCGATGGTTTATGAAAATCCCCGCGAAGGCGCTGAATTCCATGCCACAATTTCTGACCCCGCTTGTCCACAACCTTCGTGGTAGATACACCTGGAACGTACTCGACGTTGATCGGTCGTGAACCTCATGACGTGAACGTGTGCAACCAACAGAAAGTCAGAATCAGTCACACATCGAAATAACGCCACTTTTCGGTGAGGAGGGAACCAATCGACAGAATTAACCAACCAGTGCAGGCAAAGGGTCTACATTCAGAGTATGAAAGAAATGAGAGTAAGCCAGCCAACGCGCTAATTTAAATATTTATCTAGTTTCGCTTATTCCTCTCTCCTTTTTTGACACAAGCGGTCGTGATGTTTTTGAGACAGAGTGTATCCGCTCCAGGAACATTACTTTTCATTTGATCCCAGCAGAAGCAGTGTCATCAACAACAGAGGCTGGAAAAATGTCGCAAGACAGGGAAATGGAAATTGAAAATAATAGCTGGAGGGCGTTCTGTGAATGTATCATCAACATTTGTCTCTGGATATCATCAGATCCTTGCCGTGTTTTAATTATCTCCCCCGTGGCTTCAGAGTCTGCCAACTCACGGTTCAATGCGGTACATCAGTCTGTGGCACAGAGACAATCTTGGCCCACTGCACCACTTTCATTAATTCTTCTGCGTTTAGGCGTTCTTTACGTGGAACATGGAATAGAATTACGTAGGCCCGCTGTTTATTTCGTGACCCCCAATTTTGGATTTTAGGATTATTGTCCAGGTTCAAGACCGATTCGTGTTTGTTGGAGATGGAATTTGTTTTTAGATTTAATGTTATTGTAGGTACGTGTTTCGCCTACGTTTGAGTCTCTATCCTACGCACGGTACTGTTGACAATCGATGATCGTGCGAGCTGATATACTTTGTTGAACAAAGTCGCCCTCATTCCTTCCTACCGAAACGCGCAGCCATTGAACACATGCACACGCGACACACAAACGCATTCTTGTGGAAAAGACCATCAGTAGCCGTTTCAGGTGATCGCGAAGCAACTCTCATTACAAATTGTAGTTTGTCTCGGTTCGAATTTGTGCCGAGGTAAAGTCGCTTTGTGCCTTATCGACGCTTCTATAATACGCGAATGCAGAAAACATGTAAACTCCTAATTTACAAACTCATATTCATCCTAGAGGTCTTCATGGGCCGAAATTGCATAATTTTACCTGTTCTGGCCCGAAGACCATTTGGAGATTTATTTTTTTATTTTTGCAAAGAATTTTATCACCGCCACATTGATGTCCAGTAGTCTCTGCTGTTACGAAAATTAATTGCGTACAAATATACAAGGCGTGAAAAATAATGTCCTGTCATTCGTTGAGAGTCCGTTTCAATAGCGCTTCGGAAATACTATTGGTTGAGGTGTGTGACTGAAGACAATCTGGCAATTAGCGGATATCTTACGTGTTTCATGTGCTGTGACGAGAAATGTATTTCAGCTGGTCGTTAATAATATTTACAGTTAATTAATTAGTATGTAAAGTGGCGAAGTGGACACTTAAACCTCAATCCAGAACAGCTGTCTTAACGGTGAACAAAATACTGACTGCCCCATATAAAGACAAGAGTTGCATACATCAGAATTACGTGTACACACTTTTGGGAAATTATTTGTATTCAAATAGGAGTCAGGGATGAATTTTCTTGGAACGTAACACACTGCTTCAGCCATCATGAAAATTGGGCTAACGATTTAATAAATGTAATTATGCAATTATGAATTTATCTACAGGCTGGGTATGAAACTTTGTCATAGATTATAGAATGACGGATTTTGGTCGGAGTTAGGTTAGGTTGCAAATTCAAACTCTGCCTAGCAAAGAGATTTATAGTCCAATATATTATTAACATATGTAGCATAATGCTGGTCGTAAAAGAATAATGGAGTACATAGATTTTTTAATCTTTGTAAATTTCACGAGTTTGAAGCGAAATGATGCGAAGGGAACAGAAAGTATAATATTAGGGAGTTCTGGAAAATAGTTTTCCTGGGAGAACAAAGATGACCTAGTGGTCACCGATTCAGGACAAAACAGGGATTCTGAAGAAATCAGTAAAAATGTGGATGGAAACAGTCTGAAAGAAAACTCTCTGGTCCTGGAACGGGGTAATTATGATGAAGAGAAGATATTAAGAAAACGAAGTACGTATTTCGCATTGATCGATGTAATGAAAACAGAACGAAGTTTTCGATTGGCTATTATGGTAATATTTTTACAATATTATGTGCTAGCGCGGGTACCAATTATACTTAAGGCATTATAAAGCGATTTCAGAAATAAGAATATCTAGCAGTTAAATAAATGCTTCCAGTAAGCAATAAGATCATTTATGTGGGGTGTATACAGATTTAAATTTCTGTCCGTGACGACAAAGCGCCAATATTTGCAGTTCAAATATTGGCGTAGGATTCCAGTCTCCTATTTTACCCGACGTTTAATGTTAGTAAAGCTTTGAATAAAATGTAGCGCGCAGAGGTTTGACATCCCTCAGGCTCGTCCAAGTGTGTGCAATTGTTCAGTCATGCAAGTATCCCAGAAATCCGATTGTTCACGTCCTGGCTACGAGCGCCACAGTTTCCAAGCGACGCTTTTGTTGTTGTTGTTGTTGTTGTTGTGGTCTGCAGTTACCAAAAATGTGCACA